TTCCTTCCTTCCTTCCTTCCTTCCTTCCTTCCTTCCTTCCTTCCTTCCTTCCTTCCTTTTTTTTGGGGGGTGGTGGTGGTGGCATGTCTCAAGACAGGGCTTCTCTGTGTAGTCCTGGCTGTCCTGGAACTCACTGTGTAGACCAGGCTGGCCTCGAACTCACAGAGATCTGCCTGCCTCTGCTGGAATTAAAGGTGTGCACCACTGCCGGGCCTCTCCTTGTAGTATTCTGAGTAACCCAGGCTGGCCTTCCACCCACTGTGTAGATGAGGCTGACCTTGAACTCCGTCTACCTTTCAAGTACTAGAATTACAGGTGAGCACCATCATGCCTGGCTTTCTACCATCTTTAAATCAAGGTTGTTTAAAACACTAAAGGTGTTTGTAGAAACATGTATATATGTATATGCAATTGATGTTTGTAGTTTAAAAGAGGCATTAAATCTATTGTCGCGTATAGACCTCTGTTCTCCCTCCATCAGTCAACTCACCATTTTTACAGACCCTTCTAGAATCTTTCTATGCCTATGAAAGTTTATGTCTATCTTTTTCTTTCATTAAACTTGGGTTCATACTGTAACTATCTTTGTGACTGTCTCTGTTCTACTTTTAAACAAGTGTCCTTTTTTATGCGCATTTCTATCTCACCTGTCTGTGTGTGTTTGAGGATGTCTGATCCCCTGGAACTGGAGTTACAGAGAGTTATGAGCCGCCATGTGGGGGCTGGGAATTGAACTCTGGTCCTCTGGAAGAGCAGCCAGTGCTCTTAACTGCTGAGCCATCTCTCCAGCCCTAAACAACAGTGTCTTGAAAAGTCCCTGCTGAAAGCCTGGGTCACACGCACGGCTCCTGAGGCTACTGAAGGCTTCTTGCCAGTCCCCGCATCTGTCCCTGTAGTAAGGTGGCGGGACCCGGTGTGACACCAGGCTTCTCTTTGTGTGAACGGCTCCTCCACACTTCCCCACTTTGAGATGGTTATAGACTATTGATTGACAGCTTGATTGGAGTAGGAAATACCTAGGGCATTAAGGAGGAACGCTCTTGGGTGTGTCTGTGGTTTTTTTTTTTTTTTTTTTTTTTTTTAAAGATTCTGCATGCCAGATCTCATTACAGATGGCTGTGAGCCACCATGTGGTTGCTGGGAATTGAACTCAGGCAGTCAGTGCTCTTAACCGCTGAGCCATCTCTCCAGCCCATGTCTGTGTTTTTAGAGAGGTTTGGCTGAAAAGAGGACACCTCCCCTCTCTGTGGGAGCACGGTTTGTCCCATGGGCGAGGGCCCCAGACTTAACAGAAGGGGAATAGGACAATGTCAGCAGAGTACTGGTGTTCCTGTCCTGCTTCCTGATTGGTGCAGCCACAATGGACTGCATCCCTGTGAACTATGTTGAACCTTTCTTTCCTGAAGCCGCTTTCTGGCAGGGATTTGGTCACATCAGTGAGAGAAGTATATAATACTCGTTTCGAGTATATACCGACTTAAGGGAGGGTAGTCATCGTTTTTAATGTAAGTTCTGTGTAAAGTTGTTTGGTTCTGTAGCTTCCGCTTTGGTTGGAAGTGGATTCCACTGCGCTTCCTTTTGGGACTTCATCAGCATAAAAGTAAATGTTTTATGATCTAGTGTTGTTATACATAGACCTTACTTTTCAAGTTGAGAAAACAGGCAGAAGTCAACTCTAAAAATACAGTACCGTGTCGGCGTCACACATCCCACTCCATAGGCGGGCGGTACCCCGGGTTCTTGGAAGAGACAGCTCAAGGGACAGCCTGGTATCCCAGGATGCTCCACGGAAGAGTTCCATAGATTCCCAAAGTAACAAAACCCACAGGGAAAACACAAACCAGGAGCCGAATGGGGGCACAAAACAGAATACAGTGTGTGCGGGAAGCCACAGGGGCTTCTAGGAAGGCCATGGTGCTGGCATAATCTTGGCAGAGTTGAGAGGCCTTGGAGTTCAGTCACTGACCCTCGAATGCAGACTCGGAGAACATGTGGGCTGCAGCCGTGAGAGTGTGGGAGACCATGCAGGGGATGGAGGCTGGGGCCGGGTCCACTGCTGTGGCGCCGTCCCCCAGGTCTGCAGTCAGCTCACACAAGGAAAGGGTGCCGGTGGGCTCCTTTCTTGGTAGGAAGATTGTTTTGTTAGTTTTAGGAAGTTGATTATACTTCCCCAGACTCCATCTTTTCTCCCGTTCAGGATGTTGAGGGAAAAGGCTCCCTTGTACCGCACTCACCCGCCAACAGCGTTTGTGGTGCCTTTTGACCAATGTGGCTGGGATAGACTGTGGTTATGACCCTTGGTTTCTCAAAAAGCACGCTGTCCCCAGAGAGCGGGATGTGTGGTTTAAACACGAGAGTCCGTAGTGTCCCCGTGGGCTTGTTAACTCTGGGCTTCAGGTGGCCCCACAGCACCCCTTGTTCTGCATTGGCTTGCTGGTGGTTCTGGTGCAGCAGCTGGGCACATGGCTGAGAAACAGCACACCTGGCAGTGTGTGACCTCCCACCTGAGCTGTGGGATCACTTGTTCCTGCCTGCTTGTCTCCTCCTAATGTTCCAGCCATTCCACATGCACGGGTTACCAGAGCATCGTCTTCCTATGAGCTCGGCCTTAGTGTGAATGTAGGACATGGATTGTCAATACTGTTTGTCTAACAAGTAATACAAAATACATGTTTCATTTTCGGTTGGAATATGATTAGAATTTTCTTTATTGTTTAAACACTTAACTTGTAGAGGAGAAGAGGGAAAGATAAGGACAGTTATAGAGTTGTTTAAGTTTTGGCCTTTGGGCCAGTGAGATGCTCTGAGTAGAGGCTCGCTGCCAAGCTCGGACCAGGAACTCATATCGTGGAAGGAGTAACAGACCTCTACAGGTTGTTCTCTCTCTTCCAGTGGCACACGCACAAACACACATACACATGAAAGTAAGCGCAGTTTTAAAAATGTGTTGTTTTCCCCTGTGTATGTGGTGTGTGTGTGTGTGTGTGTGTGCGCGCGTGCGCGCATGCTGATGTCTGTGTACACATTTGTGTGCACATGTGGAGGCCAGAGGTCTACATCAGGTGTCTTCCTTCTCTCTCTCCACCTTATTTATTTTGGATTTTTGAGACAGACTATGTAGTCTTGGCTGGCTTGGAACTCCCCACGTAGAGCAGGCTGGCCTCCAACTCACAGAGATCCACCTGAGTGCTGGGATGGAAACCTTTGCTACCACACCCAGCCACCACCTTCTCCTGAGATAGGGTCTCTCACTGAAACTGGGAGCTCACAGATTTGACAAGACTGGCTAGCTTGTAAGGTTGGGGTCCTCCTGTCCCAGTGTCCTCTGCACTAGGACTACAGGCACAAGCCACTCTGCATTGCTTTTTTTCCATGGGTGCTGGGGACCAGAACTCAGGTCCTCACGCTTGGGTACAGGTTAGCACTTTGCTGTCTAAACCATCTCCCCAGCCGCAAAATTGCTGTTAATTTAAAGTAGATTTGTTTTTATTGGTGGATGTGTCACAAGAGTGCAGATGCCTGTGGAAGCGGATGGACTGGACCAGATCCCCTGGAGCTGGAGTTACACCCGATGTGGGTGTTGGGAACTGAACTCTGGTCCTCTGGAAGGCCAGCCAGAGCCCTGGCCTGCTGAGTCACTTCTCCCACCCCCCGTAGAGAAGTCTTGATGGGACTTGATGTCACAACACCACTCACTAAGCCTAGCAGCCTGCTCATGAAACCCAGGAAGCCATGCTCGGCTTAAGTCATAGCCACTTGTCAGGCCAATCCCAGATGCCTCTAGCGCCACTGAGTCATGAAGACTTGATATTCCAAATCGTTTGGTACAAACCATTTCAAACAGCCGTGGCTTGGCAGTGCCTACAGGAGCCAGGGCATTCAGCTGCTGAGAGCTTGCCCTACACTCGACGCCCACCTGGGGACTGTAACATTTGTAAGGCTAAAGGTCCTGAGGCTAGTACAGTGACTGTAACATTGGAGGGTGACACTGTGGCTGTGGCCGCTGCTTACTGCTCCCACTGAAAGGAAAGCTGCTACCGGGCTCAGTGCCTGCCCATGGTTCCTATCCAGGTTGGGCAGAAAGACTCTCAGCTGGACTGGTGACAATACCTCATGAGCTACCTTGCCAATATCAGATGTGTGTGGCTTTGCTTTATACATGCATTTGTCCCACACCATCTTCAGGGGACCTCAAGGGACACCCAAACCTCCAGATTCTCAAGCCCTTCACATGAAATGGGAGTGTTTGTATGTATTCTGGGCATTTCCCTGTGTGCTAAATCATGTCTCATTACAGAGCCTCTAGCTGTGTCTCTCCCAGGAATCAGGCAGGCATCATGTGGAGTTGATAAGCGATCCATGCCAGGACCTTACCATTCTTCCAGAGCTGTTCTCCCCCCCCCCCAACTGTGAACAAGCCCACCTACCCCACCTCCAGGCCCAAGACAGCCTTGACTCATCGTCGTCGTCACTTATCTAGTGCTTTCCCACCGTTGATTCCTGGGCTTGGAGGCTACCTCACGTGTGGAACTCCCCGGATCCTTGATCTAGAAACCCCTAAGATAAGGCATTCTCTGTCTAGACACCTGTAAGGGAGAGCATCCACATCCCCTTTCTAGAAACTGTAAGTGGGCATTCAGAACCTGTAAGGGAGGGCATTCCATTTGTTATTTCAGAAAGGAAGGCTGTCTCCCTGTAAGACTCATGCTTCCTGTGGCATGATGCTACAACTCTGCTGATATTCTTGGGACTGGAGGGGATTGACAGCTCTTCCCTTTCAGGACCCTTGATGGCTACCTTTCCCAGTGAAACTCGTCTTTGGGCCCAAAGGCTTGCTTCTCTCCTTTAGGGCCTCACCATGGCTGCCTGTGTCCATGGCACTGTAACTTGTCCTCATGAAGTTCTTCTAAGACAATTCATCTCAGTTTTTTTCAGTGAACCTGCAAC